GCCTTGGCTACATGTACCTGTAACAATAAACTGCTGGGTTTCTGGGCTTGTTTATACTCATCTCTAACTGTCTGAGGACAGTAGCACAACAGGATATAGACACTATGTGTGTGCGTGTGTGTGTGTATCTGCGAGACAGACGCCTACTGCAGGCGCTGGGTTGGTGGATGTTACTAGACCATGATAGAGCGCAGGCTGCTGGCAGGTAGTGTGCACTGTGTCTGGCAGAGGCCAGGTTTACCTTGGAGTGACACCAACCATCTGCATGCTATAAGAACTAAATTGCAGACTTGATGTCCAGCAGGCGAGACAGAGGTGTGAGGATGTTTGTGTGGCTTTTTATATATGTATGTGCGAATGGTGGTGTAAGAAAACTAGACAGACTGCAATTTTTTTTCTCATTAAAGTCGACGAGATACATTTAAAATAATAATAATAATAATAATAATAATAATAATAATAATAATAATAATAATAATAATAATAATAATAATAATAATACTGACTCCAAACATACCAAGCAATCAACATCCATGCTTATTGTCCCTGTACTTGATTTTCAACTAGGTTAATAAACTGCTTATCCACAAGATGGCACAATAGAGACACAGGATACTGCAGCCCGGTACTGTAATAGTAAGCAGGGTCTGCATGTAGTCACTGGTGACTGGCGCACATCTCTGGACTGAACTGTCTCCTGTAAATTATTATTATTATTAATAAATATCGTCATATTATTATTGTTATTATTGTTATATATTTAATATTAATATTATTATATGCGGTAAGTTTAAGCTTAAAACCATGTCCAAAAATGTCTTTTAAATTTTATTTTGGCCAAAGTAATTCCACTAAATACTGGATTTAAAAAAAAAAAAAACAGTGGAAGATGGAAAACTACACTTTTTCCCCACATTATAAAAACATGCAGATGAAGGTGAATAGTTCTCTGTAAATTAACCATAGATCTCTGTATGTGGTCCTTCGAAGGACACCTGGAACTATCCAGGAAGTACTCCACCCCTGACCAATGACTACTGTAGGTCGGGTTACAAGTGTGTAATAAAATATAATTCTCCCTCTCTACTGCATGTGGGATGACAGGACAGAAATTGTGCTCGGTGTTGAGAAATCTACACATTTGAAACTTTAATTTTCATAGAAACAGCGAGTCGGCTGTGTCTGAACTTTACTGTTGGAGTAAAGGTGAAGGTGAAGCATACACTGAGGACCAGTCCAAGGAGGAGGAGGAAGACCACCAATGATTAGCCTGGATATTTATGACCTGACATTGTAGAGGTTGTAGAGAAGTTTGCACTACAACATGTCAAACCCAGACACTGTTTTAAAGTTATTTTTTAAGGGTCGGGCCACACACACAACCGTCCCTGTTCATTTACATGTGCGGTGAAAAATAATCATAAAAAATCTTTTAAAAAACACAATACGTCCGACTGACGCCGTTACTTCAGCTGACAATAAAATGAAAAGCTCTTATTACCCTGAAGACGTCCAAAGGAAGCAAAACTTTAACAACTCAGACTATCACAGTGTGAGTGTCGCTGGGTCGATCCCCCCGCCAGCCTCTGAGCCTCTGATTGGTTTGCCAGAAGGATGTGGAGCTCACAAATGTGGCAGCTGCTTAAAATAAAGTGACAATTTTTAATGGGGTTTCAAACCTCAGAGAGTCACTACATCCTGCCAAGCCCAGAACCGTGGCATTGGTCCAAACTGAGGGGAGCGGGGGAGTTTATCGAACGGGACACAGAGGATCGAGCTTGTTCTCTCGGCGCAGCACCATTAGGCAGCTGAACGCAGTCGACCATTTTCAAGTCACCATTTTCTCACCAGCAGGAGCTTTTTATAGGTGCCATGTGTGCACATACATGATTATAATGGTCTTTCAAATCCCACTTTTGGGGTCAACGCTCTCTTGACAGTCGAAAAAAAACCTGTTAAGTGGAGTTTAATGTACAAGGGAAGGATCCGTTTGGTAGATCTGGAGAAGGCTGAGCTTTTGGTGCTGAAATATGGTTGAGTTTTTGTGCTTTTGTATCTGTGTTTACTTAATAAACAGAGCTGCAGTAATGAAGCCACCAGTAAATATCTGATGTAAACAAGTATTAAAACAGTCTTTGGTGGTAGGATACCCACTTTGGGTTCATTTCATTAAAGAATAATTTAAAAATAAACAAAGCATTCTATGCTAATGAATAAAATCTCCTGCACCGAATGACCTGTCCACTGAGAAAAAAATGTCCACAGTGAAAATAGGTACAAATTCCTGTTCAGTGATAATATATTACTAATTAATAATTTGACCATATTGAGGGCTAGTGGTGTAATAATGGTCGGAGCAGAGTTTCATGTAAATAGAGTCTCTTTCTATTTCTATTCTGTAACTCAATGATTGAGTTGGCCAATTTTGTTTGTTATTCTGTTCTATATACAGTATATTTTATGAAGGTCATTGTTTTTCTAAATAATATACCATTTAGACTGATGTAAAAAAGAAATGGTCTTTTTTCACACTGAGTCAATCTGTCCACTCAGTCCCATTGTTGGTTCGTGTGGCGATGACAGTAAAGATTTATCTCATCTTATCTTAGTCCTTTTTAGTACAGGTGATTATGGCTCCACACTTGTTGTGTGTCTGACGGATCAGATGTATAGACCTCTGTAATAGACTGGACCATAAGTGACAGCTTCTAAATGAACTCTGTATAATCTCTGTCTCCATCCTTTCACCGACTCCCCAGGCGTTCAGACGGTGAAAAAGAATCTGGCGTTAGTCTCTTAAATGGGTTGTCGGACGATTGCAAATGCATCTGCTGCTTTGACATAAGCCACTCTGACAGTATTTCTGACACGAATTCTGGAAAGTAGATCCACTGAAAAAGCCCGTTACAAAAACACACAATTTCCTTTTCATTCGAACAACTTGGTTCTGCTTTAAACCACCGCGTTACACCTCAAGGAATAGTCATGTCGATCTGTAAGTCAATGGGTGTGTTTTATTCTACTTTAGTCCCCACAAAACCAAACAAAAATGTAATTTATTATCATAAATGTTTCCACAGACATGTGTTTTATCCCAAATTATCTTTTTTAAAACATAGTCAACTGTGACTAAACAAACTCCTGTTCCTCTAAAACTGCTGGTAATATTCTAAAAAGTTTCGTCTGCAATCTCAGGAAGCATTTTCTGAAAATGAAGTGTACAAACTTTCATCTCTCATTTTCCTGAAGGAGCAGTATTTAATTATCATTAAGTTAAACAGAATAAATGACATGTACAATTCTGCTCTCTAGTGGCGGCACTCTGATTTACAATAAATTCTAGAAACATCCAATAATTTTTCAACTATAAGGTTTACAGTAAATATTTAAGCAGCTACAATCTTCACAATCTAAATACAACAGCTGATTTTAATTTCTTTTATTTTTGTTAAAATTAAGATATTTGAAGACACTGGATTGAGCTGACAATTCACTTAAGATAGAAAGATATTCCTTTTTTGTCATGACATTTATATCTGACACAAAGGACAGGTTAATGCACATATGTATGTCAACATTTCCTATCCATCCTGCATGGATACATTTGAAAGAAAATGTTTTGCTGTTAGGAATCTTCACAGCAAACAGAACCAACAGAATCGTTCTACACACCGAGCTCAGAACTGACAAAAAGTAATTCTAGTCATTACATTCAATATGTACTAGCTTCAAAGATGATTCCTGGTTAATCACCTTGCTGTCAGAGTGGAGCAATTTTTGGCCCATTTACTTCGATCACTGTCTGGTCCTTGTTGTTCCAAGTGTACATATAAAGATAGCCTCTCATTTCAACCTTCTAATACCAATTCTCCCCCTATTTCAACATCTATCCTCTAAGTGATGTGAGAATCTGAGTTTCTACATTTAAAATGTATTAAAAAAAATGTGTCCACATTTTTGGTCAACCAGTTTTATTTTCTACTATTTTTACTTTATATTTTTAAACTGTCAGAGGTTTCAAATTTTAATCTGATTATCAGAGGGTAGCTGTAGAATAATCACGATTAATCGTGATTAATAATGATTCTGTAAAATTCTAGAACTAAGTCATTACTGTTCAGTACTGTACAGGGCTGTACAGATTGGTCGGCTGCTCCATTTCAACATGGCCTCCTTCGTCCATTGTCCTCCCTCAGCGGGGTGACACCATGTGACAAAGAATAAACCATATCGGACCAGTTTAGTGTTAAGTACAGTAGAAGACAGGAGAGTCACGTCAGGTTTATTGTTAGCTCAAACGATGACGGATATTATCAAAAAAAAAAAAGGAAGGTTTTCTGAATATAAGTAATCAGTGGTGGGCTACTTCATCCTGCTACGTTTGCGCTTATGACAGAAGAGGGGCGGGGTGTGGGGAGCAGGGGGCTTGCCTCCTCATCACCATAACGACGCCTGAATTCACAGATCAGAGCGTCTTTCTCTGTGATTATTATTTTTTCTGATCTCACCCCTCCTCCCTCCAAAAAGAAAAAAAAATACAAGTTCGATATTAGACGGGTTATATAATATCCCACTGCCGTGATTGCCGTGGCGATTGTCCTCGGTTCAGAGAGAACAAGTCCCACCAGATCTGTAGTCTTCACCAAGTAACCACACCACAGGTAACCACGGTAACCACGGTAACGACGATGCAACTTGAAGTGGTTTATAAACGCTAGCCTGACAGAAACATCCAGCCGGTTTCTTTATACAGATGAAACACTTGGACTCCATAGACCGCCTCAGGTGATATCATTATAACTCTAGGCCCCAGTGTGCTCTGCAGGTCATATCTCCCATTGGTTTCCAACACAGATGCATTGATTTCCGTAATGACTCGTCTCGTCTTGTGGTGAACACATTGGATTTTACTGTGAAAAAAAAAAGGCCAAATTCCCTTTTTTTTTTTTTTTTAAAGTGCAGAGATACAACGTTCCCTGCCTTTCGTGCCTTTAGAAATTTGTGTTAAAAGGCTGCAGGCCTTGAAATGTGCTCGCTTTGTGTGGAGTTGAACGAGAGCATTGCGGCAACTTGTGATGTTAGCCGTCATTGGAGAAGTGATACTTCATTGTGGCAGTAATACCCTGTGAACTCTGGAGGTTTCACACATAAGGAGGTGCAAAAATCACTTTCAAAAACTGTGAAGTAGACGGGGGGCTAGGAGACATGCGACGACGGATTAGATCAGAGGTCCGGCTGTCACAAGAGCCAGTGCAAAGACATGGAACCATCTCATTCAAAAGCCTTAGCTCTTCTTCTCACACCGTACACACAGCGCACAGTGTACTGTGTAGTCAAATGTGGTCCTTATACAGACAGTAATTCCATACTAACAGTGTGACATATGGGAAGTTATAATGATCACACAGTGTATTAGAAATTCAAATGAAATCCATATATAAGAAGTAGAACGTCAGAGTGAATACAAATCTGCTCCCAATAAATATATGCACCAACATTAACATATAGGCAATAATTGGACAAGGGATTTTTAATCTAATAATTTCATCTGAATGTACATCCAGCTGCAACGAGTTAAATCTACAGGCCTGCGCATAATATATAAACCTCCAACACTGTGTCTCACTGAATACTACACCAAATAAGCCAGAATATTAAAGATATGCGTCTCGTCAGTATTGATTTTCTTTCCTACAGCCAACTAAAGCCAGCATGTCATTTTATAGATTTTCTTTTTTTTATCACACATGTGAGCAATTATTTTAAATGCTTGTCAAAATGTGTCATGAGGTGATTATTTTGTAATTATAACATGCATTAGCAGTGTGTGTGTGTGAGTGTGAGTGTGGGGGGCGTTGAGTGTGTGCGCGTGATTGAGAGAGCAAACTGTATAAAAAGTAGCATGAAAAGAGCCTGTCGATCATTGGCTGCTGGCCAGCTTCATTGAGTTGACGTGTTCTCTCCCTGAGACTGAGTCACAGAAGATGAAGGGCACATTTTGTTTTCATTTTTTTGAACTATTAACTGTATAACACTGTGATGTGACAAATATGGAGGACAAGTACAGGTCCAAACTGTCGCCTACTACAGATTTTTGGGCAGGAATATACCTGGTTGTGATTGGTGAGTACAAGGTTGACTTGTTTATTTGTCAGATTTAGTTAAGACATTTACTGTAACTAGTCTTAAACTGAGTGACATTATAATCCAGAGTTGTTTTGTGTCTGTAATGCAGTTTATCTGCAAGATTCCATCACAGTAAGAATATTCTGAAGTCTTTATTTGAATTTTTAATTCATGGCTGATCACGTGGTTGAACACTGACAATTTTTCATTTTTTTGTTTTTCAAATTAGTCCCCGATCGTACCAGAATCACAAACGGAACAAAAGGATTTAAAGGATTAAAAAGAAAAAAAAAGAATGTTTAACTAGTTCTAGCAGATGGCAACATGAATGAGATTATATGAGGTTTAATTGGCAATGAAGTGGCCATCAGTACTGTGACTGTGACCATGTAATACCACACGTTTATGACAATAACTCTTCAGGTACACTCCATTACTCTCCATTACTGTGAAGTGATGGTAAATGACTGTAATAGAAAAATCTTTCTGTTCTCCTTCACCTCTGCTCTTAGCTTTAAACCTATCTGTTAAAGTGCTTAATTGAGGTGTTTAATTACACAACCATTTTTATTTTTTTAGAAAAATATTCTGCCTTTTTTTTTTACAAAGATATGACCTATTTTATCAATTTCCAGTAGTTTAATCCAGAGGTTTTGTAGCAAATTAATACCGAACAGGTGAATTTGTGAAAACCTTGAATCCTTTGGCCACCTTTCGTACATTAGACTTCCAACTGTGAAGGAAAAATACCTTTTTTGATTGATTCGCTTTCTACTTTCTACTCTCAAGTTTAATGCATAGATGCACTCTGGGGGGTGAGGGGGAGGGGCAGTCTAGTTAATAAAGGCTTGTGCTTTGTAGCTGCAGTCTGAGGACACAGGTCACGTTTAAAGAAGGATTGTATCTTGAAATATGACTGTAAGAATGAGTGGATTGGCAAATGCCAACCACGTAGTAAATGGAGTGTACTCTAACAGGCTGCTCTGGTGTCGAAGACCATCTCCAAGTGTCACATTCCACGAATCTCTGCAGCGTCAAACTCGTGCAGAGCATTTATTGCCAGCATTTAGTCTGTTGCATAGTTGCCCGGGGCAACATTAGGGGCAGTGACTTTCCTGAGGATCTTGGAATCTTAGCCATAACCTCTGATGTATGGAATCAGTTTGCCCACTCTTGAACTTTAACTCTGAAAATGCAAAAAAGATCAAGAAAGAAATACCTGAAAAAAAAAAAAAAACATAGAGTGAGAAGGTGCTTTTTAAATTTTTATAAGGGACATGTTTAGCTCACATACTGCAGCAGCGCTAATTCATAATGCAACAGCAGAGGGCAGAAAAAACGTGTATGTTACAGTTAAGCAGTGATAAACATTATTCAATTATTTAGTAGTGGCTTTTGTCTCTCGCTATTGTCTCTGTCTTTTTCTTACTGGGAATACAGTTCAGTGAAGGTTCTTTGGTTCTGAGGTAAACAAAGCCTGATGTAATAACAGCCTAGTAAAAAACAACACAAAAAAACACAGGGCATGAAGTCAGGGAGCAAAAAAAAAACACGAAAGAAGACCTTTGAATATAAGCAACTAAAGCAAACTAAAAATAATAAATTAATTTTCAACTTAATCAATGCATTTCTTAATTTTATTATATTAATCTTAATTAATTTCCCAGCCACCCTACGGTTGTTGTTTTCTTTTCCTTCTATTTCCCAGATTTCCCAGTGTTTATACAGCAGTTGTCAGCCATGTTTATTTAATTTAATCTTTATGCCCATCGTTTCCTGCAGCTCTGCTTTCAATCCTGGGAAATGCTTTGGTGTTGATCAGTTTTGCCCGCCGCCATTCTCAGCTCAAAGCTCCAGAGCTGCTGACAGTGAACTTGGCGATCACGGACATGGGCATGGCCATCAGCATGTACCCTCTGTCCATCGCCTCGGCTTTTAACCATGCCTGGATGGGAGGTGATGCAGCTTGTCTCTACTATGGTCTGATGGGCATGATCTTCAGCATAACCAGCATCATGACCATCTCTCTGATGGGGGTGGTTCGCTACCTGGTTACAGGAAGTCCACCTAAGAGAGGTAAGGCCACTTCACTGATTATTTAAGGATGTGTTAGATTTTCCACAACAGTTTCCCTTCTGATAATTTTTTTTTTTACTATGAGCAATTGAGTGAAAAAAAGAGAAAACCGCAACGACTGAGCAGCAACTCACTGATATGCAGCAGCTTATTGCATTGTTTCCCAAACACTGGGTCACAACCCTCAGGTGGGTCACAAGAGATTTTTTTGGGGGGTCATCTCGCATCATGTTTCCCAGTGGTTTACGAATAATGTCTATTGACTTGGGTCGTGAAGGTTTGTGACTTTTAAAATATGGGTCCCCAGAAAAAAAAGTTTGGGAAACACTGGATTATTGCAACAATATTGCACCAAACCTTAGCAACATTAGTAAAATCCCTAATAACAATACCATAAAGATGGACTTAACATAAACATAAACATAAACTCCTGTTTCTAGGTGTCACGTTCCACCGGCAAAGTGTCTTCATTGTGATCACTGTCATCTGGTTGTATGCTGGACTTTGGGCCCTACTCCCGCTACTTGGCTGGGGCAGTTACGGACCAGAACCGTTTGGACTTGCCTGCTCGATAGACTGGGCCAGCTATGGAGAATCCCTGAACAACTCCACCTTCATAATGAGTCTGTCCATTCTCTGTACATTCCTGCCATGTCTGGTTATTGTCTTCACATATTTTGGCATTGCCTGGAAGCTGCACAGAGCCTACCAGTCCATCCAGAACCAGGACTTTCAATATGGCAACATTGAGAAGAGAATCACTCTTGTGAGTATTACATTTAAATACTACTTCAAAGTATTGCCCTAAAACTACTAAATAAGTGAATTTTACAAGACAGTGAAAATATAAATTACATTGAAATTAATGTGAATTAGAACACACTATGGCAATGGTGGGATTTTCCTTTTTAGTCCAGATCAACATGAGAAACAAAGGACCTTGTCGCCGTCTTTTGGCGAGGGCAGAATAAATTGACCACGAGAAAAATTGCCAAGGACAATAATGGCCATGTACTCCATTAGGACTGCAGCTGACAAGGAGCGAAGTTGCTAGGCAGCAGAGCACTTATGAATGCTCTTCTCTGCATATGCAGTCATAATAGGTCATCTGCTCCAGCCACCTTTTTGTATCTCTCTGTAATAATAATATAGATTTTCATTCATCCGTTCAGTTTTATCACTCAACATGACAGGTATTTGGCCCAGAAACCAGAGGTTTGGACACAGTTGATGTCATCTTTTCTGTACCTCACATCATCACCAACTATCATATACACTGATTATGAGTGTATATATATATATATATGGTGTCGCAATGGTGTCGAGTATGGGGAAGTAGTTCCGCGAAGGACCTATACTCTGATTACAGAGACAACACTTGAGATGGTACTTATAGCCGTGTGGCTTGTTTAAATTATACAACCACATGTGCATGCATTCATATTTGAGCCTATGCTTGTGTAAACTCGTTAGCATAGCATAACACGATAGTCCTGCACTTAGAAGAGCTTTTACACGGTACCAGCATTTATTAATCAATGCATCTATTAACATGTTATCACAACGCCGTGAACGATCGATAATCAATAATCACAAGCCTACTTCTTCTTTCTACTTCAGATGGCTGTGCTGATCAGTGTGGGCTTTATCACTGCCTGGACTCCATACGTGGCCGTGAGTTTTTGGAGCATGTTCCACTCCCAGCAGCAGGACCGCATGGCTCCTCTCGTCAGCCTGCTGCCCTGCCTGTTTGCTAAGAGCTCCACCACATACAACCCATTCCTATATTTCATCTTCAGGCCCACGTCACGGAACAACCTCCTGCATCCCCACAGTTTCTGTTTCTGTTGTCCCAGTTCTCCTGTAGAGGAGCCCAAGAATGAAATCAAAATGACAAACAGCTCAGAGCGAGTTGACTCCATCAGCCACACGGCGGCGCTGCATGGACAGAACCATAGTGAGTACTGACTGTGAGGATTGTGTCATCGTCTTAATACAGGTTTTTATGGTGTCCTTTATTATATCTACAAAAGTGTGCACAAGACTAGGCAGCAAAATCCAATGACTTGAGCCTCCAGCCCTGGAAGTCGAATCAAAAGTCTGTCTTTTGATTCACACTGTGGTTCACTCAGTTCACCCAGACACCAGGTATTCTTGCTCGCTCTAATAGGTTCAAAACAGTCAAAGGTATTCTATGAACATATTCTATCAACAAATGTTGTAATTTTTAAAAGATGTTTTATTAATATCTTAAATAAAAAAACAAAAGTGCCTGGGGTCTGTTTTCATTTTCTTTTGGCTCCAATGTGTCCACGAGATTCACATCTGGACGATGTGGACGAGTTTGACACCTTTCCTGAACATCTTCTAACCACTATGCAGCGCCACAGAATAATATAAACAACCACTTGTCACCTGAGGCATTCTGCAGGTGTGCTCTGCATGACAACAACCCAACTATACTGAAGTCACAAACAACCTGTACCATTTGGTGCAATGACTCACAGATAAGAGATTATTTTGTAACAAGAAATAAAAATCCTGTTCATTTTTGTTTTATTTAATAGCTTCTGTGTAAAAATAACAGGTTTCATCTGTTTAAATTTGACTGCAGATAAAAATTAAAAAAACAGTCCCCGTGTGGGAACTACAGTCACAGTTTAAGAACAGTTCATGTGTATTATGTCATATGATGAAGAGCAAACAAACTATATTTTGTTTAGTTGACCAAAAAACACATATGGTATACTTTAAAAGGCCTAAATAGAACCAAAGAACCTAAGTAGGCAGTGGTTCTTTGGTTCTAATTGATTAAACCCACTGAGCATCACTAAAGAAACTGAGGGACAAACTCTGATCACACCAGTGGAAGACACGTTTTCACATTTTGTATTAAAACATCACCAAAATATAATAATAATAATAATAAAATAATAATACTTTTTATCATTTTATTTTATTATTTTATCACTCTCTCTAATGAAAGGCTGGAATTTTTGACTTTTTTTTTCTTTTTTTTACAGTCATACCTAGAAAGTCTTATATGTCCCTGGGCTGTTGAAATGTCCACAAAACACCACTAATCTCTCCTCACGTTCCCAGGTTTTTCTGAGAAAAATCCATACAACTCTGTCGTGTGTTGCCGTTAGCGCTGTGGGCAAGAACACCATTACAATAAGACTGCATTATCTAATCTACACAGGACACATGGGCAGAATATCTACTCGAACATGGTCCCTTCTCAGAGATAACCTGAAAGGTCAGCAGGTCAACGCTAATGTTATTTTATATTCTTTTCAGTGCAGTCCAGTGAGAGCCTTTGGTATTCAGGCTATAATTTGAAACTAAATGAATGCATGTGCTGTGGTGCAGGAGACATGTAAACATTTGGATTTCTAAAGGCATCAGGGAAACATTAGGAATGTTTTTGGTTGTTGTCGCCTCCGTTATAACTTCTTCATGGAACTGAAGAAAGAAAATAAAAACAGAATGAGCAGAAGCAAAGAAACACAGGTGTTTATAATCACTTTAACTTTAAATTAGCTCTGCAACTGAACCCTAATGAATTCACACCAGCTGTGTTTATTCACTGTCTGAAGTCAAGATGGCGGCTGTAAAAACACACATGGAGACGAATTAGCATAAGTCCTGAATTATGAAATTCTAAGAAGAAAAAATGATTTCAATAGTTTTTGCTGTTTGATTCTAAAATGTCTGATTAAAAAGTCATAATATTTCCATTGATGACGCAGTCTGCATCTCAACACTTCCACAACCTAAAAACTACATTTAAATTGATCAATGAATCGCCGCGCATCACATCACTCTTGGAATAAATTCAGTTAAATAAGAAGTGGTATTGACCTTTGGGTCTCGTCTCATTTGAAGAATACTTAGCACGCCGTTAGCTGCCTGATGTAACGGAGAGATAATCAGAACCAATAACACGACAGTGTTTGGACTCCATATTTACTTCTAACACCATCAGTGTTGACTGTAAACGGCTTTTTTTTACGGTTTTGGTCTTCATCAATTCCCATTTGTAATTTGTGAAACTGTGTAAAACTGATAACATTTGTTTTCATAACATGGGTTGTCTTCATACCTTTTTTTTTTACAGATACACGTATGAGTATTTTTATCTAAGTACTCAGTACTCACTGACACTGAGTGTCTTAGTTCTTTTAGTTAGTAGGAATACTGTATATCTGAAATTATTTGGCATGTCCAGAGTTCTGTGGATTATACGATGATTTATATGTCTCTCAGACACAGCAGGGTCAGATATGCTGACCTGGAGAGAACATTTCTTCTTTTTACCTTTTTTGTCAGCTGTCGTCATTGTCAGTCTCAAAGAAGAAATATTTCCCTTTCATTATACTCTGTAAACAAAGTCCAAATGTCTCAAAAGTCTTCCTCCTCTCCAGCTCCAACACAATGATGTTTTTATTTTTTACGTGTTGTTTCCATGTCCACAGGGCCAGGAATGTCGGTCAGATCAAGAGCACGCACTGACGCGTAAACAAACAGACAGGTGTAACCTGTCGACCGAGGTAATGAGTGCACGTTTTCACCAAACAATAACTAATTAGAGCCCATCAACACTGGCCCCTTCGCGGGGTCGTTAGAAGCTCCTTCACAAAGGACGATGATCACCGCTGCGGTGTCAACACCTTCCCTAATTACAGAGGGCATTTACCATCTCTACGTGCTGGCTGTCCACTTAGATGTGCGGCTCCCCCTGCTGTCTGTCTGTCTGCGTCTCCCTGCTGTCTGTCTGTCTGTGCGGCTCCCCCTGCTGTGTGAGAGGATGAAGAGAACCACCACTGACAATGAAAAGAGGGAATGTCTTTGGTGCTACATTTAAAGAGTGAATAAAAACATAATAGTAAAAAATAAGATGTGTTTTGGTTTTTTTTTAATTAGAATGCATTTAACTGAAATGCACAGCGAAATAAATAAAGACAAGGCGAGCTCAGAATGATTTCCACCCAGCTTCCAAGAGCTAACTGAAGAACTGACTCAACCTGAAGTGAAGCAGACACAGGAGGAAGTGTCCGGGTGGTTTATTTGTCCAGTGTGATCGATTAAAAAGAAAGGAACACAACAGTGTGATTGCCGATGTTAGCTGCACTAATCAAACAGCCTTTGTTAATAATGAATAGGTCAGATATTGTCAGGCCTTTCAGAGTAGGCTAAAAAAATGAGGCAATGACTGCGTCTGTTTGGTGGGGGGTGAAAGGGTGAGGGTTTGGGGGCGTGCTGAAATACATCAATATTACACCTTCTGTCTGCGCAGCTTATAAACAAACACAAAAATCCAATGCAAAAAAACAACCTCCAGAAATATTGGTAATAATACTGTGCAAGTACATCATTATTTCATGTGTATTTAATATTATATATTATATTATATCTTACTTCAAATAAAACAGATGACAAAAGAGAAGAAGAAACCCTTTTTCCTTTGAAAAATCTCTGAGAGTTCCAGTTATCTCTCTCACTTAGGGAGGAGTGAGGAATATAAAGGAGGGGGCGAAGTGGAAGGAATAGTTTGTGATGAAAAAGGGAAGCAATCCAATTCCAAACAAACCTGATACCGTAACTTGTTGCTCTACAGACGCCTGTTGTGTTTCTATAATCCCAGCTCTGGGCCCTAGGGGTGACCTGGTTTTTTTTCTATAACAAGATAAAGAAGAAGACAAAACATCAACTCCATGGCATGACAATAGCCTTTTTTGGCATTATGTTGAATATAAACAAAACAGCATTTGTTTACAGTGTAAATAACCACATCACCTGGAGCTACTGTATATTTACATCAGACAACAAACCAAAGAACAAATATTAAAAACATCCCTCTGTCCTCACTAACTTCATTCCATTTCTAAATGAAATCTGCTGCTGTAACTGTATGGCTGACTGTTTTCTCTCTTCTTGTCTGTCTCCTGAACATAACGTGATCATGTGAGCTCTCCAGTATAACGAGGCTCTTTAATTCTGGTTGGACATTCCCAACAGGCGTGACCCACCAACTTCTATGACATAAAATTCACAGTACAAAGATGTTGTACCCTGAGGACATGTTTTAATTCATTTTGAATTTTTTTAAAAAAGGACTTTGTCACAACCTTCAAATGCACCCTGAATAGTTAGCCAGTCCAACACAGGGTAAGATAAAGGGGCAAAAAACACAGCTAATACTAATTGTGCACGCTCAAGGCTCAGGAGCGACACCTACCTTTAAACCTGTAGGTTAAATCTTTTTTGCCCCACTGACTGGCTTCAGGTACAATAAATTGCACACTAAATAAGTTAACTCTTAGCACTTTCATTGTTGGACTAATTGCAATAATTAAATTATTTTTATTTTATTTTTTTAACTAATTTTACTCATTTACCCATCATAGTTAGTTTGACGGTGTGAAAGACAACTGCCACTGGAAAGAAAACCTGATGGAATGTATCCTCTTTTCAAAATAAAATACCATATTGGAATGCATAACCAAAATAAAAGCAGGCTATCAGTGATCCAGCCCCCGACACCAACATAAACCTGTTGAAGCTGCAGTAAATGAATGCACAGATGACTTTGGTGGCGTTTGATGTCAGTAATGACGCACGGAGACATTTGGGTTGAGCTTGCATACACTTTGCAGTGACATTGTACCCAGGGCAGTCCTAGGATTCAGCCCGATGACGCGCACTGTTTATGTATACAGTTTGTGCACATGGCGTCAGCCGGAGCCATATGATGGAGCGGACTACCTGCGGACCACTTGAGTAATTCTGGCTCCTCGAAGACAGATGGATCTGACACCTGAACGCGACATAGAGTGACTTTTGCGCCACATAGGAAATCTTTCTTTGACTGCCACCCTTTTACAATGGATATCTACGCCTCCACTTTATCCCCAGCGCTGGACATCGCTGTCGGCTGTTATCTGCTGGTTGTGGGTAAGTTAAATGGAAAAACATAGAAATTAAGAAATTACATGAGATGCTGACGTGAAAAAAAAAAATAAAATTACAGGTGCATGCTTTTATTTTTGGTATTTTAATAATGTTTAGTATTGCTGATTTATTAGTTATGATGGAGCACGATAAAACAATGATTTCCATGTTGCAGCACTGTGTATGTTTTACTGGAGTCCTGACAGTACATCTATAGGCACGGTCTTTCACAGCCCCATACACAGAGAGACTCCTGGAGCTTCATTATGTTTGCACACACATTGCGTCTTCACTTGAGTGCTTCCATTGAGTGATTTCACATGGACACACACACACACAGGTGCTCTGGCAGTGTTGAAAACCTGCTTGAATCGACACTGAAGCTGCAGAAGAGCTCTCTACGACATTGTCATGTATGGGGGGAGGAAAGGACAATGTCAGAATTGTTTTAATGCATTTTCTTGTGGCTTGTTCATTTATTAAATCCTTTATTAATGGGATTTTATATATATATATATTTATTTAAAGGGTGCAAGAAAAGGGGGTCCGGGAGGTCACAGTTTTTTATTCACTATCCAGGGAGAATAAGTTGAATCACCACCTATACCCCCAGGCAGTACAATTAAAATTCAAACTACATGATGTGATGGTAAAAACAAAAGAATGTAGTGATGCGTCTGGTGAAGTGTCAACACTGGCTGCAGATCCCTTCTGATTAGACTGCTCTCCACAGGGAGGACTTTAAGCGCAGTCGTGACCTTTGTTTAGATACTGTGCGATTCATCGCAGATGAACGCTGATATCAAAATGACAGATGTAACAAAGGTGTTCACACCAAAACGTGTTTTCAATAATGCTGAACAGAGAGAAGCGTGGGGGAATTAATGAAACTGTGAATAAAAAAAATTGTGTAATGGACTTCAGTCTGTCATTCTTAGTTCTTGTTGATATGAGCTGACAAACTCAGATGATTCTGTCAATGATCACTAAGGCACATCACAGTCAGTTAGAACAATGCCAGTGAGTGTAGATACATAGATGATAACTTTATTGAATTTCTACTAATTTTCCAGTCAAATGTCTGCTTCAATAAAACACGAGGGGGTTTCGGATTATGCAAGTACATGTTATGTCACTGGTCCTCACTTGTCAGTCATTCAAAGTGTCCTGTTTAGGGCACACATCTGCCTCACACCATCATATCACAGAGGTCCCCTCGCTGGGCCAGATCATCCGCTCATATCACTGCTATGGTAATGAAATCCAGTTCTAGCTGTCTCTCCCACCTGATGACTCCACAGTGTCTCAGATTGTCTAACTTATCTGCATAGATAAGTCACTTTTGCTAGCCTACAAAGTACTGCCAAGAGTTCCTTTCTGTAACCTGATTGTTAATCCTCATCTCGTCACTTGGGATAAAAGCATCTGCTAAATGCATAAATGTAAATGTAAATGTCAGCGGTCAATCTCTAGAACAGTCGGGAAAATATCCTTTCTTTCAGTCTACAGCCATATCCCAACACAGAAATGTATGTAATGCAGAGGTTAAGCAACATGGATTAGTAGCTGCTGGTAGAATAAACAGCAAAAAGTGTTAAGTTACTGTCCTGGTCTACAAATAAGACCACCTTTTCATTTGGCTTCGTACACAATCTGGTTTTGTAATTGAAAAAGAAATACAGCTACGAAATTTCTTGTCATTTCTGCTGGCTTCTGAAGCCACTTCACATTTCTCCAATCTTCTTCTCGTCTTTCTCAGCTGTGCTATCCATCATCGGAAACCTCATGGTGATCATAATAGCTTTCAAACGATCATCAAGGTTGAAACCACCAGAGCTGCTGAGTGTGAATCTGGCGGTGAGTGACCTGGGAGCAGCGCTCACCATGTACCCCTTGTCTGTGGCCTCTGCTTGGAGCCACCACTGGATCGGCGGAGATGCCACGTGCATTTACTACGGCCTGGCAGGATTCCTCTTTGGTCTGGCCAGCATCATGAACCTGACTGTTTTGGCCATGGTGCGGTTTATTGTTTCTATGAACTTGCAAAGCATGAGTAAGTATCGTTTTTTTTTGGAGTTAAAATTTCCATGTTCAATATATAAATACATCATTTAAAATGTATTTCTATGGGTGGATAGAAAGTAGAAAGTAAACTATGAACAAAAGTTGTACACTGGGTGTCTCTTTTGTGTTGTTAATGATGACAACCCACTGATAACGCCTCGAGTGTTTACATCACTGGTCTCCAACCTTTTGTTCTCCAAGAGCTACTTTTACAAAAAAAAAAAAAAAAAAGGAGCTACTTATGGTGTTACATTTTTCATAGCTCAATTTGAACATACAAACACAATAAGCTTTCTTTGCCTGAACATTTACAATATGTCACTGTTGACATATGACATTTTTGTTCTTAAAACATCACCAAAGTATTATTATTATTAATATTATTATTATTATTAATGGTGTTGTTTGGCACCGTGGGAGTCCAGTATTGTTCCTCCATTTTGTCCAAATAACCTGTCTGGCCACTTTAATTTATTTTCTGCAGAACATCGCCGTCTACTGGCCATATTTAACCGTCTGCAATGGTTTGGCAATCGTCATAACAGATATAAACGCAGCATTGACGCTGTGTGGTAGCGAACTTAGCTTTAGTTACACGGATATTAAACAGTAGCGAAATATACAATAACGAAACATATCTATTTTATTCATGTTCCACAAGAGTAGGGTAGCGGAGTGACACGTTTTATGATAGGATTTTATCAAGAAATGCGGTCGGTTGTTCGGTTTTAGCTCCGCCAACAACAACTTCCGGCCAAATGCCTACTCTCTGTTGACGAAAAGCAGTAATTGCAATTGATGTGCCATTGCACTTCAACGATTGGTTGTATTTGGATTCAAATGCACATCAAGTCCGGACCAATCGTTGACGTGCAATGGCACATCCTCATTTGCTTGAATTTAGCATTTCAAACAAATGAGGATGTGTCATTGCACTTCAACGATTGGTTATCGCACATCATCTAATAGTCCGGACCAATCGTTGAGTGCAATTGCACCTTACAGATAACAGAGGGCAACGAGCAGACAAAAGTGAATCATAAGCGGACGTGATAGAAAGCCCAGACACTGTTAGGTCTTCAATGACGTCCGTTACATACGTTTCATATTTGAATTTAATTTGAATTCATAAACAACCAATCGTTGATCTAAAACGGCACATCATTGGCAATTCCTGCTATTCGTCAATAGAGAGCCTAATGTGCAGACAAACCTTTGGCCGGAAGTTGTTGTTGGCGGAGCTAAAACCGAACAACCGACCGCATTTGTTGATAAAATCCTATCATAAAACGTGTCACTCCGCTACCCTACCCTTGTGTGACATAAATAAAATAGATATGTTTCGTTATTGTATATTTCGCTACTGTTTAATATCCGTGTACCTAAAGCTAAGTTCGCTACCACACACCGTCAATGCTGCGTTTATATGTCATGGTGACTTGTAAAATGCAGTCGATTGTGCTACCTGTGGCCAGTAGACGGCGATATTCTGCAGAAAATAAATGAAAAATAAAAACAGCTTATTTAGTCAACATTTTTAAAATGCAAAAGACAACACTATTATACCCTCGTTTCTTCACTTAGAAGACTATTTCTCTTGCCACTAGATCAGGAACTACTACATTAAGCCATTATAGAATTATCAAAATAATTAAATGAGTAATATGTTACACTTTTGTGTATTTTTTATACTTTCTTTTACTCTCGCATCATTTTTCAACACAACTGTATCCCAAAAATATATTTTTTCTCAGAAACAACACAAACCGTCAAAAACATTAAAGAAATCATCATATTTTGTTTAGTCAAAAGTTTAGTTGAGTTAAAATTGACATATTACATTTTTATTAAAACACCACCAAAGTATACAAAGTATTATTATTATTATTGTTGTTGTTTTTATTATTATTAATGGTTTTGTTTGGCAGCGTGGCAGTTCACAAAAAACATCCATGTATTCAATGCCCAGTATTGTTCCTCCATTTTGTCCAAATAACCTGTTTTTTATTATTATTATTATTAATAATTTTCTTCCGTCTACTGGCCATATATAAACCGTCTGCAATGGTTTGGCAATCGTCATAAGATATAAACGCAGCATTGACGCTGTGTGGTAGCGAACTTAGCTTTAGCTTTAGTTACACGGATATTAAACAGTAGCGAAATATACAATAACGAAACATATCTATTTTATTCATGTTCCACAAGGGTAGGGTAGCGGAGTGACACGTTTTATGATAGGATTTTATCAAGAAATGCGGTCAGTTGTTCGGTTTTAGCTCCGCCAACAACAACTTGACAGTATCAATATCAGTAGGAGAAAAAAATATTTCACCTGGTGACAAATTGCTAGAGTACAAAGCAATATTGATGCTGCACACTGCAAACAAGACTCGGTTGTTCTGATCTCCTTGGGGAAATGCAGTGTTGAAGAAAATGGAGGGGTGTTGTTGGTCAAAAAAACAAAAACAAAAAAAAGGAAAATCATGCAGATAGCAGGTTGGGCATCAATTTTGGAAAAAACATACAGTGTGTGGATGCCACGATGTGTCTTGTGTCTTGAACTTTGTATACCATGCTGTCTCTGCAGGGGACAGAATCAGCTGGAAACAAGCAAAGATCCTGTGTGCCTGGACCTGGCTGTACGCTCTCATCTGGGCGCTCTTCCCTATAGTGGGCTGGGGCCAGTACGGCCCAGAGCCATTTGGGGTGTCGTGCTCCCTGGCCTGGGGACAGATGAAACACAAAGGCTTCTCTTTTGTCATTTCCATTTTCTCCTTAAACCTCGCTCTGCCGTCTTTCATCATCACCTGCTGCTACTTTGGCATCTCTATCAAACTCTACTTGGTCTATAAGAACTACACAGGCGGCAGCATCCCAGTTCCAAATTATGTGAAGCTGCAGCAGAGGCTGTTGATAGTAAGTGATTCAGGTCTCGCCTGCATAATTATCGTGGTTGAACTTCCAGTCATTTTCCTTTCTTTTTCCCAATTCCTGTTCCAGATTGCAGTCTTAGTCACTTTCGGCTTCCTCGGCTGCTGGTTTCCCTACGGCATGGTCAGCCTTTGGTCCATTTTTAACGAAAGCAGCGCCATCCCACCGGAAGTCAGCCTCTTGCCATGCATGTTTGCCAAAAGCTCCACTGTTTACAACCCCATGATTTACTACATCTTCAGCAAGAACTTTCAAAGAGAGCTGAAGGAGCTACAGATGAGGTGCCTGGGATTTTATTTTTGCAAATCCAATAGCGCCAAGGAAGACATCACATTCATAAGTAAGCTTGACAGAAGGTCCAACACCGCGGCGCTATCACAGCGTTGTCTGGAGACAACAGACTTGGGTTGAAAAATTAGCGCACTGTGAAATATATAAGCTGTTTCATGTGGATTTGTTTTAAAAATAAATACATAAATACAGTGTCAGGGAAGAAAAAAAGTCACCAAATGTCAACAAAACGTCTGTTTTTTGGGGGGGGGGGGGGTATCCTCTCCCAAAAGGGACAAACACTTTATGTTTTTTAAGACTAATATAATAGCATGCCTTTGGATTGTTGCTGTCCATATAGTGTGTGTCCTGGCAATAGAAAAGCGCTAATTTATATGTGTATGTATGGGAGTACAATTGTCTAAAATAGAGCGTCAGAGCTGTGAGTCACGGACCGTAAAACAAACTCAGGTTAATCAACCACTGACACTGTGCTGACCTTTGTGACCTGCGTACTCATCAGTCATCCCATCAGTATCTCACATAGTTACTCTGTGCTATTTGGAAGTGCAGCCAGTAAGATGTACAAGTAGGATGTTAACATGAAGGTGTTTGAAGCACGTGATGTTATTTATGAATATGTTACTGTTCGTATGAATTGTCTGTTACTTATCACGCAAACCCTGTACAGTATTTAAAAAAAAAAAAAAAAAAAACTCTAAGAACACTTGCCTTGCTTTAGCACAAAACCAACAGTGCATTCTTTGTGTGTGCTGAATGTTTTAAACAGTGGTAAATTAAGGTGAAACGTGTTTGTTCATCTTTCTCCTGAAACATTTAAAAAGTCGCTGTCTCTGTGTTTTGAATAAAAGTATTAAAATATTTGCTCTTAAAATACTTTAATCTGGATTGTGAATATTTCATGTAACAAATGACTGACACGGATGTTATTTTCTGCACGAAAAGGCTGCTACTGTAATGTGTTCTCTGTGGAGATAAACTTGGCTCGTTCCATGAGGTGTAACTACAGCACAGCTCCACTAGCACATTGGTTCCGGAGCTTTCGACCATCTCGCTGTCCTCGTTAGCACGTTGAGGTTACTCAGAGAGAACAGGCCGGAACAACCACTCTATGATCCCACGGGGAACACAGAACCTCTTACAAATGTCACAGGAGGTTTACCATTCTCACCTCCATGGAGACTAATTAAATGCGGTCCGCTAATGAGTCGCTGTCGGTACAGTTGAATTCCCGGGAACAGAAAAACAGAGCTTTACTCGTAATGAGCATGTCAAAAATGATTAGGTTCAATCACATAAAGAAATGTGCTTCACCGCTGCATTTGATTGGTTATTATTATGTGATAAGCAACTGGGCAAATAAAACAAACAGATCAAGAGGCCATCATAGGGACAAACAACCATTTACACTCACATTCATACCCACAGACTGTTCACTTTAGTGTGAACACTTGACTTGAAACAACAGCACATGCAGCATTAATCAATACAGCCAGAGCATCAATTGCCACCAGCTATAGAACCACTGACTTTCCCATTGTAAGGCATGAACATTAACCACTGTATGGTCAGCTTCCTTTCAGTACTAAAAGGTGAACACTCAAGTCTAACGTCACACAACGTCTCTTCACGTTTTCAATACCTACTAGTAAAATTTAGTTATTTATTTGAATACATATTGACAAATGTGGAGCTGTACACACTGAATATATTGATGTGTGCATTTCATCGACATGTTGGGACAATACACACTGAATAAACAGATAAACGGGGACAACACAGCCACCTTGTTTTCCATGTAAATGCTTTCTTATTGAATTCTTTGTCAGTTCCAGTCAGATTGCCTTTTATGCATTAAAAAATGTCTTCAATGTATTTTTTCCCCTTTCTTTTGATCTCTCTATCAACACCAGCCAGAGCAGACAGGCACAACGGACGTCAATAATCCACCATCATTTGCTGAATGCAAATTTGCATTCATGCCAAATTCCACAAATACCTAATCGTTTGTGTACTTTGGCACATACCCATCTTCTGAAAAGTGCTATTGAATAAGCATCAGCTTTTTTCACAATAAACTAAGCATGCCATATAGAAAAAAAACCCATCACAATCACAAATAACGTAACAATTTATGCCACTCTCTGGAAAAATAAGTCATGGAGTAAGGAAATCAACCTAGTAAGTATACAGTTGGTCTCCGTCTGTACAACTCCGGACACGTGTTTGTACTGACAAATTTAACATCTTTATAGTCACACATTTCAAAATTCAAGCAGAAAGCTGCATCACAGCAGATCAAAACATTATTATTAAAATTATTTAATGTCCCATTCTTCGATTTTAAGTTGAAAATGAAAACATAGACTCTGCTCTATTCTAACAGCAGTGGAACAAAAACAACAACTCAATCAGCTCGTCTAAATCACCACAGCGGGAGATAAAAATAAATAAAATAATGGCTTGTAATTTTCATAAAGACAGCTGTTAAATGAGGACTATTGTCAGTAGAAATATCACCATTCAAGAAAGAATCGAATAGAATCATAATCATTGGCAGAACGACAAAACCTTCAAGCAAGTTTACGAGCGTTCCTGGGTTTTCTCCTGCAGCCAAACAACCTGCAAAATTGACCATAGTTTTGAGTGAGAGTGTGAACGGTTGCTGGTCTGTACAGTGTATGTTATGTCAGCTAGTTATGACATTAGCTGATCATAAATATAATGTGAATTTATTTTCAAACACATGGAGGATCTAAGCTAAATGTCCAGAACATTCCTTTTTTTTAACTACTGCATTGCTTATTCGAAGCTAAAAGATCAAGAATCTAATTATTTGTGTTTATTTCCTCTTGGACCAGGAGACATTTAAATTCAGCAGAGAAATGAAAGGTACACAGTGAAGATATCGCACATCCATTAACCCAGCACACTGTGTTCACCGTTTTCATCTTCCCTCTTTTACTGTGGCACCAATCACGGCTTGGTAAATGCACAGCATGCACATGATCACATATTTGAAGCAGTACATTGACATTTTCTGTAACGTACAGTTACTATATCAAAAGTTGTTCCTGATTCATTTGTAACAGTGTGTACATTGATACTACGACCAAAACAATTTATTTTTCCTGTGGAGTTTAAGCACACATTAAGTTATTCAACATTTATTCCCACAAAAGACAACAACAATTTCAAATATTGTAACCATATCTATCGCCCACCAGGCTGTGGTTGATTTTTAAATGAGCTGCTAACTTCGTTGGGATTTGGAAGATATTTGTCAGGATTCTGTGCAAGTGTCTGGTCTCCCCTGCGTTTGTTTTTGACCAAAATCAACTTTTTGAGATTCACATCACCTGGCGTATTTTCTCCAGGCTCTTCTCAATGTTGTCGATGACCTCCACTGCAGCCTGTGGGATCCTGGTTCCTGGGCCAAAGATGGCACAGACGCCGCTATGGTAAAGGAAGTCGTAGTCCTGCACAGACACAAATAGAACATCATTCACAGGATGTGCAGCTAATGAGGAATTCTGCTGTCAGCTGAGGATGTTCACACAGTGAATGCAATTTTATTCAATCTTTGAAGAGGGAAAAAAAAAACACAGTATTGGCGGAATAAACGAGGCTGCGCTGCAAGAATTTCAGGAAGTTCTATGTTGTGATGATAATTACATGAACCAGGAAGACTATCATTATGGGCAATTGCATTTTTGTTCACATGCACGTTTAAGACAGTCAGAGGCTGTGGAGAGAAGGACAAAGAGAGAGAGACATAGAAAAGAAGTAGAAGAGAGAGCGGACATTCCCTGGCACTGCTTTCCTTTTCCAGCGGTTGCCAGACAACAGTGTGAAATCTTTAAAAGACCAATAACAAATCAGTAAGATAAGGATTTAGTCCCATTTTATGATCATCATGTGTTCATTATTTAAAAGGGAAAAAAACAATGAATAAACAATGAGCGAATTGTTTACAATTCAGACAGTACTTAAAGATAGATTTATCTGCTGGGTGAGAAAGAACCTTTAGGAAAATGGGCTTCAAAATAACATGTTTTTTAATGCATTTAACTGAGAAACTTTTTGAATGACCCAACAAAACCAATTTTAAAATAAAATGAGACTGTAAAACGAACAGAAAATCTGACCAAAAATAGCTTAACAGAAACATAAATGCGGTGCTGTATTTTTCTTTTTTACTTGTACAGCATACACTTTTTCTACCGACTACCCTACAAAATGTGACTAAAGCCATCAGTCAGTGACAGAAACAACTGAATCCAGTTTTCCAATGTCAGATGATAGATTAATGGAGTCCAACATAGGTGTTTGCCTGATGTGTCGAAATATATTGATTTTTATTAGAAAGCATCAAGTGTGTTTTGATGGAAAAATACATTATGTGATGAGTTTGCCTTAGGCTTGGTACAACCTGTGACATGGATATAATAGCCAATGGCTGTATGTGTCACCTTCACTGTATGATTTTAATATTCCCCCAAAAAATAGTTAGATTACTCTGTTTCTGCTCTCACTTTGCACTTTGAATGAAATTTCTTCAGAACTGTTGGACTGAGCCTATAAGCCATGCACGATAAACTCAGACGTTACCTGTGGTGGGATGACACCGCCGCAGATGACGAGGATGTCTGGCCGGTTCAGTTTGCGCAGTTCCTTGATGAGCTCCGGGACCAGAGTCTTGTGTCCTGCAGCCAGCGTGCTGACCCCAACGCAGTGGACGTCAGCATCCACTGCCTGCTGGGCGACCTCCACAGGCGTCTGTTCATCACAGTTCATAGGTTTACAAAGTGACGTCACGTCAGACATACAAAGTAGAAAATAGTGTTACTACAAAAATCTGTGACACTTCGCACCATATTTTTGAAATGAATCGAAATCAATAACATCAAATAACACATGGTACAAAAAGAGAAAACAAAAGTGCAGTTGTGACATCATCACTTGAAGCTTGAAAATGTCTCCCACCAGTGGGTCCCGCCCCACGCTTTGAGAAGCACTGCCTTAGGTCAATGTAAAACTCATCACGTACCATCACATTTTAATTCATGAAAAGTAAATATCTGAAAGATAACGTTGTTGTTAAAGCATTGACAGAGAGTCCTGACGGAGGCCGTTAGGGTGACATTTCTGTCTGTAATCTTGGCCTAAGGGCGGTCCTGACACAGGGCCATGTGAAAAATGGTAGAAAATCCTGCAGACTGCAGGGTGTTAATCACCAGCATATACACGTCATCAGTGTTGAATGTGCTTTCTGTATCTCTACCGCACAAAAGACACGCGCTGTATGAAATCAAGTTAAGGAAGCATTCTTTCTTTTCACATGACATGTCCTCTGTCTTATTAATAATAAATCTGATCAATCTTCCAAAGTCTCAACACAGCAGCAACAGTTTGAAAAGAAACGTCTCATGTGCTACTCCATATATCATGTGAGTCACGTCAGGCGCTTTTATTTAACACAGTGCAGACTGGCTCTCAGCATGCTAACTCAGGAGTGGCGTGCTTACGTTGTTAGGCTGTGTGTAGTGTGCAGTGGGCTGACTGTCTACAGCACAGACATCAAATCACTGTATGAACCTATAGAGACGGACTAATATCTGTTCTTATAAATACATTAACATTTATGCATTTTGCGACTTCCAAGGCGAGGACTAACAATCAAGCTACGTAGAGGAAGCTGTGGTGGGATTAAAGGAGACCACTCGAGTGAAGAAAGAGTGGGCTTCCAGAGGGTGAGAGGGCAGAAGTGGAGACAAGTGCAGTTGGAGATGGACAAGGGTGTGGTGGAGGGAAGTACAGGAAAGTGCTAGGACAGGAGGCGCTCTCTGAAGAGCTGGGTCTTCAACAGCTTCTTGAAGAAAGGCAGGGATGTCTGTTCTGGTTGTGTTTGTTAGGTGATTCTACCAGCGTGGAACTACACAAGAAAAAAAGCCTGGCTTGTCTTCTGTGAGGTGTTTGTGACCATCAGTCGAGTGATGTGGTGGTAGGGTCACATAGGCCTTTATCACAGCACTTGCGTAGGTAGAAGTGGTCCCATTAAGTACTTTGTAGGCGATATTTGAAGGTGGATTGGAAACCAGACGCACCTTGTTTTTTGACCATTTTGTTAAACTTACATCTTTCTGAATTGAACATATCAAATTTCAATGATATTACATTAAAAACCCATCTACTCCAGCAGGCAGTTGGCTTTATTTAAATGTAAAAAACTAACCTGAAAGAGTGGGCCGATGTCCACATCAAAGCCTAGATCAGCAAACCCCGTGGCGATGACCTTGGCTCCCCTGTCGTGACCATCCTGCCCCATCTTTGCCACCAGCAGTCGGGGATTTCTGCCCTCGTGTTTCTTAAAGTCTGAAACTCTAGAATTAAAAACGGAAAAAACCAAATACATATAGTTTCAAATTAAAAACAAATAAGATCTTTTTTTTATTTAATCGTTTTTACCTGTTGTGGGCCAGAGTGATCTCTTCATGCTCCCCAAACTCGCTGCGGTAAGCTCCGCTCACCATCCTGGTGCTGGCCTTGTGTTCTCCAAACACTGTCTTCATGGCATCAGTGATCTCACCAACGGAGCATCTGTAAAAAGAAGCAAACAGTGTGACAAATTATTTTCCACAATATTTTTTTTTTTTGTGCATAATGCATTTGTTGATTTTCCTTCCATGCATTTTAAAACATTCAATAAATGATTACAGCAACTGGCATTTACTGCGATACACTTCTCTCTCTGTCTCTATGTATGAGTGTATTTCTGTATGGTGTGGTCTCATTTTCCCACAATATTACTGCCCCACCGGGTCAAAAAACCCTGAACTAACCAATTAACCTTAGCACAATTCATAAAGCAAAGGTCAGAAGACAAATTAATAATTTGTGCTAAATGGCCAGTGTATTACATTGTAACAGGACAGATTTATGTTCTAATGGTTTAGAGTGTTTCTGAAATGGTAATGATCCTGCTGTGCCAACGTTGCCCACATGCTGTGAACCCGTCAACCTGGTTTAGCATAAATGATCTTTGCACAGCCATACACGTCGTAACATTCAGTCAATAAATATTTGATTAATAGATCGGAGGACAGACCTGGCTCGAGCTGCGTCCACAGCCAGGGCTAAAAGATTGCCGTCCCTTGTACGAGCGCATTCCTCAATGGCTGCCAGGCACTGCTTTGCTGCCTGGGGATCACGACTCTCTCTCACCTGCAACAAAGAAATTCTTAAACAATACAATAAATAAAGCCTTTTTTCTTCACACACTCACACACACAGAGTTAGTGTGGATATTGATGGAACAGCCACTTCCTACAAACTGCATACACATAAGCCTTACATCTCGCTTGAGCACTGAACCGAGGTCAGAACTATATTGAAGTGCTGTCACATGTAAGATGAAGCACGTATGTCATCTTCTGTGACAAATACATAACCCAAAAAAAAAAAAAAACTTTTTGTTTGGAAACACCAAAAAAAAAAAAAAAAATGTTTGTATGGTAACACCATTGTATGGTAACACCAGTACAAATGTACAAATATAACCTATAGTACATTTAAATCACATTCAGCCATAACAGAAATTAAATTAGTTTTCCATTGTCAAAAGGTCAGTCATAAAATACTATCTTCAGGCAAACAGAGTTAAACCATGGTTTGATTGTATAGTAATTACACAGTGATTCTTTCCATTGCTGAATCTAATGACATTTTTTATCCACATTGATCTCTCAATCTGGTGTGGTCTCCACAGTCCACCTGGAGAGAGAGCTCAGAATTATCAACACGGTGGTTCTAAACCTGGGGGGTGCACCGGAGATAAACATAAAACCCACACAGCTTCAAATTTAAAACGTTCAGCTCTAATTATTTTTAACGCATCTACAAAAACATAGACCTTTGAATGTTATCATTTCATAACCACAATATACAATAATAATAAATCTTTTTTTTAATCATTCTTTACTCAACAGCTGAATTTATCCTTAACCTCCTCAGGTTAAGGACGGAAAATGCCATTTAGATTGAGCAGCTGACAAAATACATCTCTGAAGAATACTGACCTTTCTCAGTTTGTCAATCTGTTTCTGACGTACAACAGTGTTATCAATGGCCAGCACTTCCACACTCTCCTCTTTTTCCAGCCGGTACTTGTTGACACCAACAATCACTTCAGATCCTGGCATGAAAAATTAAAAGGTGTGTATATCTATTGACACAGATATATTAAGAGATACAAAGTTAATGAGTATAAGAAACCATTTCAACAGCAGAACATATCCACTTTATACTCTATGTTGAAGAAGGAGATTGTTATTGAAGTACCAGGCTGTCAGGTCATTGGAGATCAGGCCGGTGAATTTTATACCATATGCAACTTGAACAACGTGTTATTCAGAGTGAGACTTCAATATTTTGCCCATTTACCTAATCCGATTGTTGTCAAAATTCAGGACGAGGACTGACTGTGTGAGCCCTCCTTTCATGCTCTACGGCTCAGTCGGTTTCAAAGCAACACACGAGAGCTACTATCACGGTCACCACTCCGTCAGTGACACCACGCAACACATACACATCAGAACAAAAATGTGAGAACATCCCATGACAGTGTTTTTGATGTTGGGAATAGCTGAAATATTGTGTTTTCCAACGGAATTTTAAAGCAAGATCTGTGACAAAAATCTGAAAATCTTTTATTGTATCCCCTTGTATCCCCCCCACTTTTGCATTACAAACAATTATATTCTACATTTCAAAGTTCTTACTGAAACCTGTGGAAAATGTTGAAAAAAGACCCAAAGCCTTAGAAGGCTGTCTCGGATGAAGTAACCACTGCTGGAGAGGAAGTCAATGAATAACAATGAGATAAAGTGTCAGGAGGATAAAAAAAGAAAAGAAAAAAAAGCTCTGTCCTTTGTCTGTGAAGATTCTGCCTGCTCCATCTCAATCACTGCTGACGTTATGAGTCAACAGAAAAATGTAATTTTCATCATGGCAAATGGGAACATATGACCCCATTGTCAGCAAAAGCCCAGAAAAATGTTACTCTTAATGACATAAAATTCCTATTAACCTTTTTATGAATAGTACACAAACAGGAGAGGGAAGAGTTACTGGTGTTTCTCTGTGTAAAATAAGAAAGTCGTTGGCCTTAAAGGAATAAACTGAAATTGTCATCCACATCCCCATAAGCATTTTGAAAAAAACATACAGACACACAAGTGAATCCAGTGAGAATTTAAACAGTTACGTGACAAGTCGACAAAGGATTTTTTTCCCCCCAGTACCTGAGTCGATGCGGGCCTGTCTACGTGCAGCACATTCCTCAATTCGGAGTTTTGGAATACCCTCTGCTACAGCTCTGGCCATGCCTCCCATCTCTTCGATGTCGTTGATAAACTGTGAAACACAACACTCGCTTTCAGGTGATTTCAAATGATTGATATGGACAAGGTTATCTTTTGGCCAAACGTCAAACCTTTAGTGCTTTGTTGTAAACGTCGTCCGTGAGCGACTCCATCATATGCGACCCCCCCCACGGATCAGCCACTTTGGGAATGCCGGACTCCTCCTGAATGATGATCTGCGTGTTCCTTGCAATACGAGCGCTCTTCACCGTGGGCAAGCCCAGGGCCTCGTCGAAGGAGTTGGTGTGGAGTGACTGTGTGCCACCGAATACCGCTGCCATGGCTTCAATCACTGTTCGGATCACGTTGTTATATGGATCCTGTATAACAATTAAAATGACAAAAAGGAAATTACATTGGGTTTACGTTAAGATTTGGAATTTTTTTTTTTGACTTATGTAGGACTTAATGTACCTGCTCTGTCAGAGACCAGCCAGATGTCTGGCAGTGTGTGCGCAGGAGAAGGGACTTTGCATTTTTGGGCTGGAAGTTTTCTTGGATGAGCGTGGCCCAAAGCCTCCTGGCTGCCCTCAGCTTTGCAATTTCCATGTAGAAATTCATCCCGATTCCCCAGAAGAAAGAAAGCCTGAATAGGAGAAAAATGTTTCATTTTTATTTTATTTTTTTACAGATGAGAACATTGTGGGCTCTTTTCTCTTTGTCCCTCTAGGAGAATCCTGGTGTGTGCATGCTGTGGAGATTTAATTAACTATTTCATAATGAAATGAACTGGAATGAATACATTTAATTAAGGGGGAAAAAGCATCAATAGGTCAAGAATACAGACTAGAGTTAGAACGATTTTGTGACTCACCAGATGATGAATTTTTTAAACCGCTGTTTTTTTTCTCCCCACAAAAGAGACACACTCAATTAGTGTTGACGAAATAATCCTGTAGTGCTTTGACAATTACTCAGCTGAATGAACAGATGGAATAGTCTTTGACTCACCTTTGAGTTAAATGTTTGTGCATTTCACAGGTGAGAGGTAGTATTGTTGGACGGTTGGATCCAGTCAATAAGTGTGTTAAGACTGGCAGCTGTTAACGTCTTAAATATATGAACCACTATCAAACCTCTGTGAGGCAAAATGCAACAAATTGTCATTTTATTACATTCCAAAAGTTTCTATATTACATTTATTGCTTTTTTTTAAATGTTTTTTTAAAGGAAATCAGCTGCAGGACCTTCATGAGTTGCTGATACACTAAAAGCCCACCACTGTGACAGATGACATCACATCAATTTTTTTTCAGTGTCTTTGTGCTTCTGCACAGCTGAAGCTATTAACTCTCAACACATCAGAACGATTGGCTGTGGAGGGACACAATAGGTCAGGTTAGAAGGGCGCTTCTACCAGGAAGGGATGACATTTTGGTATTGATTGAGATTGAGCGATTGAAAAGCTTTGAAGTGATTAAAATGAGAGGTCACAGCAATGTTTTAAAAAACGTTCGAGGTAGCCGTTCGAGTAACTCTGCTATTACGTGGGATATTGAGAAAAAAAAAATTATATATATAAAAGAGAGTTCAGAGCAATAATAATGGAAATGTTAAAAGCCAAAAAGTACCTCATTCAGATTCTTATTAAATGGAAAAAGTGTGACATAGCATATTTAAATAATTTAATCAGATGCCAGAGATAGAACAGAGCTCACTTGTTACTAGGTACCAGTGTGTTCTGAGGTCATGTGAGGCTGCATGTTAGCCTTTGTTAAATAGCTGTTAATGGAAGGTAAAAAAATAAATAAAAAAATAGCACAGGTTTGTGTGTTTGTACAACAATGCATCAGTTACATCATGTGAGAAGTGGCACTGAGTCTCTATTGGATATTTGAATGACATCATCACCACAGACTTCACAGCAGGACAATGCTTTGGCCTGATTTTGCAAAATTTCAGAAAATGTTTTAACAGACAGACAGCTCAGGGCTGACTGCTCTTTTCAACAACACCAGGCACACATCTGGTGCACGATAAGGCGAACGGTCAGAAAATTGTAACCACAGACTGAATAGCCTTCATCCTTTCTGCTGCAACAATAGCTTAAATGTCACCTAAAAACCTGCAGTGATGCAATTTAGTTTGACAAGTTTGATTTTCTTCTCACTCTTCTTCACAAAAGTGCCATGTCCTGTATCCAGTCTTCTCAAGATCACACACCTGGTTTAGGACTGAGAATTTTTTTTATTTATTTTTTTGTTTTTTTTGTGGCATTTAGCCTTGCTATTCAGAAAAATGACACTCTCTTGTATCCACAGCTTTGGGTCTATTATTGACTGTTTTCAGTTCCCTCTTTCCTGACGAAAACTACAGGTCAGACTGAAGAAAGGCAGCTCCACATGATTATTTTGCTTCAAAGTGAACATAATGGGCAGGGTTGTTTGTCCACTCACATCATTTTTAGAAGAATAGCCAAAAGGCTCAAACATGAAAACATCAGACACACAGACGTTTCTTTCTAAAAAAAAAAGAAAAGCTCATTGTTGTGCAACCCTAGTAGTCCAACTAGTTTGGTGCCAGATATTCCTGCAGATTCTTTGATGTTACAATAGGACTCTATAGAATTATCTGGCATTTTTCATCTATAAGATTACAATTACTGTGAGAAGTCTGCTACTTGGCAATAAAGAAAATAGAAAAAACACGCTGTTATGCCATGACATCTCTTCCGTTACCTTGTCTGCACAAATACCTTCCCACCGGCAGATCTTTCTGAGGCTTTTTAGGCTTCTTAAAAACTTGGAAAACAAATCATCCAAATCTTTTTAGCTATGATTTAAAGTGTTTTGACTACAGATGGTATAATGAATAGGATTGATAAGAATGTAACTGACAATTTCCCGACACACCTGTATCCCCAAATATCAGAAGTTTCCATACCTATGAAGCAACAGTATTTAGGATGATGTTGTTTCACATTACCTACCTTGGAGCTTACTCATCAATGGTTAAGCCTGCTTTCAGTCCGGTGCGGCAGTACTCCAGACCGTTAGCAATGGTGTAGGCCACTTCAAGGATAGCATCAGCTCCAGCCTCCTGAAGATGGTAACCACTTATGGATATCGAGTTGAATTTGGGCATGTGCTGTGAACATGTTTGAAGGACGGTAGTAAATTCAACAGTTGTCACACACGTATTGAAACAAGTATTGAGTGCAAATAAGGGTACATACCTTGGAGGTGTAGGCAAAGATGTCGGCAATGGCGTGCATAGAAGGTTCTGGGGGGAAGATGTAAGTATTGCGTACCATGAACTCCTTCAAAATATCATTTTGAATGGTGCCTGTTAGCTTGGCTTTGGGAACTCCCTGCTCCTCCCCACTGACAATGAACATGGCCAAGACAGGAATGACTGCTCCGTTCATTGTCATTGAAACAGACATCTTCTCCAGTGGTATTCCATCAAAAAGCATCTTCATGTCTTCGACTGTATCAATGGCAACTCCGGCCATGCCGACATCTCCGTGCACTCGGGGGTTGTCAGAATCATAGCCACGGTGTGTCGGGAGGTCAAAGGCCACAGAGAGGCCTTGCTGTCCAGCTGAAAGGGAGGAAAAGAAATTAGAAACTAAAAGGATAAAGAGAGGGCATGTGGTTCCACTACTCCGCCACTAGGTGATACTAAACACCTTTATAATGCTCTGGTCCACGTCTGTTCTGCTTCTGCTGTATAACATCAGCATTTCATTTACAAAATGTAACATCTTAACCACGGAGGTCAATCAATTATTATCAAAAGATTAATCATAAAATAGCTGCGGATTTAGCATTCAGCTCTGTGGATATTAGTCATGACTGTGGATGTTAACAGTGGCTTTATGCAAGGCTGGTCTGACACATCTCACCAGAAGTTGCAGCCTCTGCCAGATTAGACAGTATTTTGAACTTGTGCAGTGTGTGCAAATAAAATGTGTCTAAATCTTGTCTATATAATAGTGCAACAGTAGGGGAAGGCACAGTGGAATTTTTGGCTATACAGTGTGTGTCTTTCTGTCATTACTTAACATTTCTTCAGATTAATCTTCCAAAATGTATTAGTATTCATTTTGCCAGCTCCAATTTAAACATTAATAATACTTATATATAGTACAGGTCACTCTTCATTACCCTTTTATAGAAGCCACCTATAAAAATTAAAATCACACCACATCAACTGGTGACTACAGTACAGGTCACTCTTCATTGCCCTTTTATAGAAGCCACCTATAAAAATAACAAATATGTACAAAAAATAAACAAACAAGATCTACCTTTAATATTATCTTTGTAGAATTTGTTGCTTTCCTCCACAGTGCTAAATCCAGCATACTGTCTGATTGTCCATGGCTTAGAGGTGTACATGGTGGGATAGGGCCCTCTGGTGTATGGAAAAACTCCTGGCAATTCATCAGCAGCAGCAGCTGAGTCTGCTTTAGTGTACACAGGCTTGATGTTGACTCCCTCTGGTGTGCGCCAGATCAGGTCCTCTGGGTTTTTCCCTTTAAGCTGTTTCTTAGCCAAAGTGGCCCACTCAGGGTGCAGCTCAGTCTGTTCTCGTCTTGCTGTGGTAGTATGGATCAGACAACGGTGCGCGTGCCTCAAAACACAAGCACTTACCAGACGCTTGGCAGCAAGTGCTGCACATGCTTTTCGTGCAGTCAGCATGCTTCCTTTTCAGTCACTTACACACACATGGATTACCTGAGGTGAATAAGGAGAGACGCACAGGAGACATTCACTACATCATGTCCAAACTATTCCTCAAAGGGCTGTGTGGCTGCAAGGTTTTGTTCGAACCAACCAAGAGCACACAGTTTGACTGATCAGATGTCTGAAGACTGAGATCAGTTGATTAAGGTGTCAACTCAGGTGTGCTGCTGCATGGTTGGAACAAAAAACTGCAGCCACAGAGACTGTTTGTGAGAAATGTTTTGCCACCCCTGTTCTACATGGTTGCATTACTGGAAATTATATTCCCATTTGTGCATATTCATATATAATATAAAATATTTTACACAACAAGAAACACATGTAGTGCTTCATTTATTTCTGAACTTCTATTAAACAGAGCAAGATATATTCTGCACAAGATTGATACACATACTACCCTATTGAACAGATTGTTACATAGTACATTTTATATTTGTGTATTAAGAATAAAACGATATATATATATATATGGCTGGCTATGTAACACCCTCTACTGTTTATTTGGAATATTACTTTTAGAATTGTTTTGTGTCCACTAGCGTCCTGCAGCAGAACTTAAAGTAGAATATGTTTTTGAAACACGGCCGCAGTTGTTGCTGTTATTATACTAATTAAACTTTAACCATTAGGACACGTTGGCCATCTATTAGCATTAAGGTGATTCGAGTTCGGCAAAACTGTCTTCCTCGGGGAGGTATAAAAATAATAATTAGGATAAAAACGTTAGTGTTACATCGTTAGTGTTACATTTTAAGTTAGCTAAGTGCTAAGCTAACACGAGAGTTGCTTGTTGCTCGTGTCAACGTAAGGGGACAAATAAACACCACAAATGACACCGGCAGTGGCCCATACATAATATCATTTGATTTAACATTTTTATGATATTTTCTGACCTTGTCTTGTGTTGTGTTCTTTTTGGTGGACAAAAGGCGTGTCCCTGTGTGTCCAATGAACTTTCATAACATTCAGCATCGCCCAATCGCGTGCTGGAGACACAGATGACACCGGAAGCAAATTCGACTGTAAAGCTTGTTGACTGTGCAAAGGATAACCGACTCTAACTTTAATTTGATCGTTCTATAGTACGGTTTTAAGTATGAAATTATTTTACTTATAATTTTATTGCAGTTTTATTTAAAAAAAAGTCCTTAAAATGTTTACCATTCAGTTAAATGTCTTTAATAAAATAGGTACATACAACAGTATGCCATCTGTGCTTGAACAACATAAACTCTCATTTTACTTTGTATAATATTTCCTATCTGCTTATCATCTAATTGTGGGGTTCCATAGCATTATTAAAATGTGTTATAAAAATGTGCTGTACGCTGTTTTTTTAGTAAAAAAGTTATGTAGTTCGCCACTGAGTGGCGATGTTTCTGTCAAAGTAAAAGCCAACTCTAACTAAACTTGTGCCTGCCACAGTAACATTAACACACGACACAGTTATCTCAACACAGTACATGCCATTTTTATTAAGGGTTGGTCAACTGTCAAAGCAGTAGCAATGGCTCTTACAGTGTCCTGTACAGTATAGTATAGTTTTGGGTTAGATTGGATTGGGATACACTTGTAATCGTCGTCCATGGTGGATATAAAATACACCAAACATAGCAACACCATTTCTAGAGCATTTAGCGGGGCAAACCATAACCAAAGTGGCAATGCAGAGAGTGGTCTATAATGCCCAGTTAATATACAGAGTAGGAGTATTGTACACACATGTGCCCTCAGTGTGTTGTTGAAACTGTAAGGCAGAATGCAGTGGTAGCAGTGCAGTGCAGTGCCGTGCAGTGCAGCTATTTCACCCGATGGCTGATTTTCTCTTGGCTCAACAAAATTTACAACTTCATATGACATTAAAAGAAAAAGCACCTCTAACAAACAAACCAAAAATGGTGTGTGTTAAAGTCTTTCTATCAGTATCCATTTATGACATGGCGGCAACGAAGCAGCAGTAAACGTTTAATGTATTCAACTAAAAGAAGACTATAGACAAACAGAGGAGCAGGTGAATGAGAAGCAGCCGCACCCTGTAGAAACAACTGGTGGTAGATGCAAACCTATAAACCTTTACATTTTATTATTTTCACACCACACATCACTCCAGCTTCAGCAATTCCACGTCAAATATAAGTGTGGCATTTGGGGGGATGACCCCCGGGTGGCCTATCGCTCCGTAAGCCATGTCTGGTGTGCAAGTAATTTTTGCTCTCTGTCCCAGGCTCATCTGAAAGGTGAGGAAAAAAGAACACCAATGAGTATGCTGCTGTAGTGCTCTTTAAAAAGTTACACAAAACAAAACCAAATACAGTATGTACAACGTTCATGGCTGCATTTTTTGCAGCTTGTCAATAATCAACGTCATATTTAAATGTTCAGGTGATTGAGCATTAAGTGCTACAAAAAAAAATGCAAATATTCTAGAGTACTGCTGCTGAATTATCAGAAACCTAAAAAACCTAAAAAACAGTTAGATATTGGTGTTGAAATTATAGAACGTAATTTTTCTTTTCCTATTTATTTAAACACATCTCAGGACAAAGAGTTCCCTGTTCACCTGCGAGGCTGTGCATCAGTCTAATCAAACTGAGTCATAACTGATGTCATCTGATGTGAACGGAGGCCTGGTGACTTTGCATATTTTGGCCGGTTGTAAAAAGACCCATGTCCATTGTTAAATGTGAGCATGAGCTAATAATTCACGCTAACCTGTTTTGTTTAGTTTGTGAGTGTTTCAGTCAAATAAATGTTGCTATGAAGTCAAAGCCTTAATGATCAGGACTGAAAGACCTGAGGTGTTTATCTTACCTGTGCTACTCCTTCTTCCCAGCCCTTAATCACCTCATTCCTTCCAATCTTGAACCTAAAGGGCTTATTCCTGTCTCGAGAGGAGTCAAACTTTTTACCATTCTGCAACATGCCTGCAAAAAGAAGCATTTACATCAGGACAACTCATTCCGTTAATTTGTTTTTTCTTCCCTTATTTATTTTCAATTTATGGACGTACTCACTTTGAACTAAACTTTCAACTAATTGCACTTCATAATAGCCCGGACTCCTTGCTCCTGAGCCAGCCCAGTGCTGTTCATTATCACTTCACGCCCTTCCTTCATTGCTAATGTTTTGGAAGAACACATGTTCAGATTAAGAAAATAAAGCAGGGCTGGCTCCAGTCTGAGAAATTATTCTGGCGGCATTTCTTATCAGGATCTTGAAGTCAGTTTCAATTACACAACTGTACAATGGGAATGTGAATCCAGAAGCACTGGCCTGGTTTCATGGATTATTTTTAAAGTTAACTAGGCCACCACTTGGCTGTATGTAGACCACAGGGAGAAAAGGCTAACAAAGGCGAAGCGGTGCAGGACTGTGCTCCTTCACAACACTGACCGGCAGCTATTCCAGCACGATAACAACACTGGGGGGCAGCGAAAGTGACACGGAAATACTGGCCAGACTTTATCAGGGATTTTAATGTGTCCTTCTCGACCTCTGAAGTGCTGTCGTCCAATCAAAACAAAGATCTGAAGCTGCACTCTGATAACTTCAGCAAACCCTCTGACCTGCTCTGAGACCACCGGTCTACATGACTAGGTCCAGCCACAGAATTAAAGGTTATACTGCAGACTTTTGATAACTTTAACATGTGTATCATTTAACACATTCAAATTCTTATCATCCCAATACCGTTGCATTACATCTCTCTGTCTAGGAAATACAGTAGTAATCAGTGGTGTGCTTTGTAAATTGTATACCATATTTAACTGTAGTTCAGTTAAAATTAGTCATAATTTAACAACTTGCTTGTTGACTGAGGGTTAGTAATGCAGTCAGGCGCATCAAGTAGCACTAACGCTGGGACTCTACTCCTCCTTCTCCACTTTCATTCATACTAAACATAGAGTCCATCTTTTTCTAGGAGCCACATTAGAGGGAAGATATCAGTGGGCTGGGCCGGGTCCAACCACGGAGTCATCGAGTGCAAGGAGAACGCCACCTGCTGCACAGGAATCATGTGGCGGAGAGGCAAACCATCCTCGCATCGACTGCACAGAAAAGCGGGCTCGTTTTTTTTGGCTGCCGCGTGTGCAACCTGCATGGAAACACCGTGTTCACACCTGGGGAGGCGGTGGGACAGGAGCGGGGGGGGGGGGGGGGGCCTCCCCGGCACTCCTCTGCGCA